ACCGTCGACCATCCACGCTGGCTATGATCGAAACAAGGTGGGTGCTGCAGCTTGCCTTCAGGTGCAACAATGCTGACGTGACGACTAGCTTCGCGCCGTGTGTTTACGCCCACTGCGGACCAGGTTCCCTCCATGCTCGACATAGATTGGGCAGCGCCATCACTTGCTGCGCAAGAGCGCTGTCCTACGCTGTCATGTTGTGACGGTGTTCCGGATGAGATTATGATGGGTACTTTGTGCAGGTACGTTTACTAGTGACGGTGCAGGTGCATTGGCTGTTGACTGCTGTCATGTGGAGTCGCGTTCCAACGTGAGCGCTACGATTTCGAGCTTAGTCTCTTTGAGTTGGCACATGATTTCATCACCTTCATCAACGTCGTGGACTGAACGCGGTCAAATTCGGCCATAGCAGAGGTGTTGGGCTAGCCCAAGGAGAGCCTCTATCGTGGTTGAGAGTGCTTAGGAGAAAGCACACGAGCAATGGTGCTCGGTCGCTGAAGGTCGTTTCCCCCCAAATAATTGGGATAATGTGGGAAGCGAAGGTGTGGGCGCGGTACGAAAAAGAGTCGTGGCTCTGATACCAAGTATTACGAGTGCAATTGAAAGAGCGAATGAAGATTGCACTATCAAAGCAAAACAGTAAATCGAGCAAAGGAATTAGCGAGTGTTATATAACGAACTAGGGTGGTAACGATAACGAGCGAAATGTGGGGTGCGCTGTTGGTGCAACCCAATGGTTTGCACTCGGCTTGTTGTCCTTGTGCGTGCATGCGTGTGTGCATGGAATGGTATGAGGGCATGAGACAATAAATATTTCATGCTTATAATAATGTGTGAATGATGAGTCATGATGTCGAATGTGTGTGTCGAGTCAATAGCGAGTTATCGCTATTCACATGTCACGTCATCGTTTGCGTGTCCTGTGCGGTTTTCTATTTTGTCGTGTGTCGAACGTTCGGCGTGTCGCAGGTGTGCGCAGCAGAACTTTAAGAACTTGAGGATGAGCTTATGGTGAAGAACCTGAGCCTTGGTTTCAGGCTTCAAGTGATTTCGAAGCTCGTCACAAGAGTAAAGTTCAAGATAGAGAATAGCTACATTACAATGTGTAGTGCAACATTTCTCTTGGTGTAGGCCCTTGTGGAGGGTAGTTTCGAGACCCTTCGTGATTGTGGACAGTGTGGCACTGTTCCACATCACTGTACCTCAGCTCTTGGGGTTTGTAGAGGGTGGGAGCTATTCCCAACTCATAACTCTTCCTAATTAGTGTTCTAAGACTATTGTGGCTGCCATAGTGTCGTTCGTTCCAACTGATGTTGCGTCGTCAATACTTGATGAAATCACGCGATTCAAATTTCTTATTATACAAGGCGTCAAGGCGCTCCAGATCAAATTTGTAGCGTATCATTTAAAGCTCTGAACAAAACGCTATGAATGTTTAAATCCGCTTTGCGGAAATCCGTTTTAGGCACCTTGGAGCCTATTGTAACTATAACATGTGGTATCAGAGCGCCTTGAAGCAGTTTTCGACAATGGCTGGACCTAAGGAAAGGGGTGGCAGAGGTGCTGGTGGCAGTGGAGAAGCCCAAGCACAAGGCCAACCCCGTGATTCAGCCATGGCACTCGTGCAACCAAGTCTTGGTCCATCAAGGGATGAACCTAGGGTCTTTGGCCTTGTCAACGGTGACAACTTCGCTGAGTGGTCCTTCAAGATGGAGAATGTATTTGACCATTATGACCTGTTGGAGGTGATGGAAGGAACGGAGAAGCGTCTCGAGAACGACCTGAGAAGAGCCCGAGGGCGCGGAAGAGCGCACAAGGCTATCTCCTACTTGGGCAAGCGTTGGGGAGCAGCCAAATCCGTCACATCAAGCCATTCTAGAGTGAACCAGAGAAAGGACCACAGGCATGGGCTGCTCTCAAGGGTGTACACGCTCCTGCAACAACGTCGGTAGCGGTGGTGTTGGAATGACAAATGGCAACACTACGAATTGAACAAGATAAACCCGTTGAAGATGGGGTGCAGAAATACTTCGACTTGTTGACGAGGCTTGAAGGAGCGAATCTTAACTACAGTGAGCTCCAAAAGAAGACCAAGTTGCTGGCCTTACTCCCAGAGTCATGGTCATTGCTTATCATCAACCTAAACCATGACTTGCCTCGCCTTTCGCTCGAAGACGTCAAGCGAGCGATTCTTCAAGAAGACTTCCGCTGTCGTGAGTTGGCGGTTCCCGATGGCGCCAGTGCAGCAAGCATCAGCCGTGGATATGGCCGTGGATATGGCGCGATTGCTACAAACTCCCTGATGGATGGACTCTTGCTCAAGGCCAAGAAGGTAGAGGAGCATGAGGGGGGGGAAGGGGGGGGAGGAAGAGGCGGTGGAGGTCGTGATGGTCACGGAGGTGGTGCTGCAAATATGAAGAGTGGAGACAACGAGAGCGAGTCAAGGGACGATTGCTTTTCAGGCCAATTTTTCTTTGTCTCGACGCAAGCACCGGCTGGGCCAGAGAGTGTTGAAGGTTTTAAGGAGCCAAAAGTTGTGGGAAAAGTCACCCTATAATTCCTGGTGTTGGTGCAACCCTACGGTTTGCACTTGGCTTGTTGTCCGTGTGCGTGCATGCGTGTGTGCATGGAATGGTATGAGTGCATGAAATAAATATATATTTCATGCTTATAATAGTGTGTGAATGATGGGTCATGATGTCGAGTGTGTGTGTCAAGTCAATAGCGAGTTATCGCTAGTCGCGTGTTACGCGGTCATTTTGTGTGTCCCGCGCAGTTTCTATTTTGTCGTGCGCGGTTTCTATTTTTTCGCTTGTCGAACGTTCGGCGTGTCGCAGGTGTGTGCAGCAGACCCATCAAGAACTCAAGGATGAGTTTGTGATGAAGAACCCGAGCCCTGGTGTCAACATTCAAGTGATCGCGAAGCTCGCCAAAAGGGTACACCTCAAGAAATTGAAGATAGTTACATTACTTTGTGTAGTGTAACATTTCACTTGGTGTAGGCCCTAGTGAAGGGTAGTTTCGAGACCCTTCGTGGTTGGGGACAGTCTGGCACTGTTCCACATCACTGTACCTTGGCTCTTGGGGTTTGTAGGAGCTGGGAGTCATTCCCAACTCGTAACTCTTCCTAACTCTTCCTATCTTGTGTTCTAAGACTATAGTGGCTGCCATAGTGCCGTTCGTTCAAACCGACGCTGTGCCGTCAATACTTGGTGAAATCGTGCGATCTAAATTGCCTATTGTAGGTGACTTCAAAACGCTCCAGATCCAAGTTGAATCAGGTCATTTGAAGCAGTGACCAGAACGCTATGAACGTTTAAAGCCGCTGTGCCGAAATCCGACTGTGCACTCTATCTTTCGTTTTAGGCACATTGAAGCCTACTGTGAATATAACACCTGGACTATTTGGTGATTAATAGCGGCGCTACCTATAGCATGACACCTCGTGTGGACTTGCTCACCGAACTCGAACCGTCACCGGTGAAGCATGTCACATCGGCTTTGGGGCAGCAAGCAGAGGTGAAAGGCATGGGCAAGGCCATGTTTAAGGGTGCTGATGGGAAGATGGTGGGCCTCAAGAACGTGCTTTAGGTGCCCAACCTTGCTGCCAACCTGATTTTCGTCCGGCATCGGAGTGAAGAGAACTGGAGCTGCGGATGGCGAAGTGGAAGGTCGGATTAGGGTGTTCGCGCCTTGGTCGAGTCTATTTTCGCAAAGATTTTTGTTTCCTCAACGAATCCCTCTGATAAAGCCCGGCCAAGAGGCTTGGGGTTTCACCCTTGATGCTCCAAATTTCGCACCCAATCCTGTTTGTCGATCGGGCTTTGGTCCAGATCGCGCTCATGCTTTCAGATCTTTTTATTATCGTCAGCACTATCCGTGATTGCTCGCGAGATGCGTTTTATTACCCTTTGTCCTCATTTTCGCCACTCTCTCGAGCTTGAAGTGCTGCATGTGCAAGTTTCATGTGAAAACAGTCGACAATTCGATGTCCGTTTGCGCCGCAAAAAACGCAACACTTCGCGTCAGATTTAATGACTTCCATGGGGTCGGCGAACATGGCTGAAGACGAACGGTCCCCTTGTCATGATCCGACGACTTAGGGTCGTTGTGTTCCGGCGACATGGGGTCGTCGTGTTCTGGCGTTGACTAAGTAAAAAGGCTTCGCGGTCGATACGATCTCGTAGTAGCTGCTGCAACGTGGCGACAAATATCGTTTTTCAGCCCCACAATGTAGGACTAAATTGTTTTTCCCTCGGTAATGTCTGAAACACAGTTACAAAATTCTTCCATCTTCCGCGTGTATTGCGCCACACTCCCATATTACCGATGGTTAAGTAGTTTTTCTTTACGTGCAATATAAGTAGAATTTTTCGACTCGAAACATTTCAGCAAGTCTGCCCAAAACTGCTGCCACATGGTTTTGCACTGGAAAATTCTACCGTTGCTTCCGACCCACTCCAGAGTCGGACCGCGTATCAACATTGTTGCGTGTTACAAGCAATCGCTTGACGTCTGATTTCCAATCGCCGGGGTCGGACGATTTTGGCGAGCAGAGTTTTGGAACCTCGATATGATGAACCTCGATATGCGACTGCTGCGAAGTCGCCGAAGCAAGAACCGACATGGTTGTGAAGAGCTACATAACGCGCAGAAGTTCGTTTCGGAGTTGCTCGCGATTGTTTGGTAACCACTCGCATCTCTGCTCCCATCTTGGCAATTTGCGAGAAGGGCTGCTGCGTAACATCGGTTGTCACCGGCGAACCCATCATGTTAAAAAACCACGTGAGGGGGTTAAAACAAAAAGCGCGAAACTGGTGCTAACTAGAAGTCGCCATCGAATTGGTCGCCCCTGCGGTTTTCAAGGCGATTTTTCCGTGACCGCTACTTAGCCGAGAGTTGTCGAGTCAGAACGGCTCTGATTACCAAGTGATACAGGATTGAATTCTCATTGTCAAGTCGAAGCCCCTTGCAAGTCCTTTGTCGGCCAACTCCTTGACTCACCCGTAGTTGGCGTGCGCAAGCCGATTATGCCACACCTTAAGAGTCGGCTTCGAGCCTTGCGTCACATAGGATGAAGCTGCTTTTGGGTGCGTCTTGAGCTGGTAGAGGTGTCCGTTGAGAACGCTTTGTGTGAATTGCTTCCCCTTCCAAAAAAGGTTCATCTTCGTGTCGTTGATGGCGACGGTCACGCCTTTCCTTGCAAATTGCATGACGGAAAGAAGATTCTCCTTCCACCCCGGGACATGAAGCACATTCGCGATTTCCACCGGTCCGCCATCGATGATGAGACGAGTATTCCCAACTCTAACCACCGGCAACAATTTGCCGTCTCCAAAGTCCACACGTGCAATGTCTCCCAGTGCACCAATGTTGTTGAGGAGTGGCGCCAAATGCGTCATGTGTTGTGTTGCGCTGGTCTCGAGGAACCACGCATTGCTTGGAGTTTTATTCCCGTCACCAGCCAATAATACAAGCGACTCCATTGATTCATCTGCCTCGCCGGATGCCGTATGCGCGTTGCCCTCTTGGTTCCGCGCCTTCTCAACATCTGATTCTCTTCGCCACCTTCATCCGCGACGGCCGCGTCGTTACGGAGTTCATGGCATTGTTGACCGTCGACAAGGCGGATGTAGCGTCCTTTCTGCAATTTCTGCTGTCCCATTTTGAGTCCTGTGGTGTGGACATTCGGCGCATCGCGGGCATCAGTACTGATGGGGCGTCCGTGATGATGTGATCGAAGTCGGGCTTGGTGGCACGGCTGCGTCTTCGCATTCCGCACCTCGTATCTTGTCACTGCATTGCCCACTGGTATGCGAAGCTCGTTTCCTGCTTTCATTTGCTTTATTATCTTGTATTGTCTTGAACGTTTCGCTTAATTGGCATTAATATTCAACGTGTAACATTGAGTTTACGCTTGCTTGTGGTTGCTGTGAGGCACTTGCGGCAAAGGATGCGGCAGAGAGCCTGCCCGTCTTCAACATGATCGATACCACCGTCCGTGCAATCGCCGAGCATCTGGGCAGATCTGGTCCTTGGCATCAGCATTTCAGGGACCTGCAGGAAGTCTTCACCGAGACCAACCTGGAGCTGCAGGGCATTCACAACGTTCTGTGGTTATCTCGTGGTGATGCCATCGCCAGGTTCGTGGCGGTCCTGCCCGCAGTGATCACGATGCTCAAGGAGTGGAACTCGACACTTTACACTGTGGTGACGTCGTACAGGTTTCACTTTCTGCTCCTTTTCCTATCTGACGTCCTCGACCAGATGAATGTCTTGAGCAGGACGTTCTAGCGACAACAGGTGCGTATCAAGTGCTCATGCCCAGCTCCCTCTGTGTACATGTATGGATCCATGTTTTGTCCGTATACATTTTAATCTAACCTATGTTTGTACTCTGATTGTGCCTTGCCTCCACCCCAGCTTGATCTGTCTGCTGTTCATGCGCAGATTCAACGGACCATCTTGAGGCCCGTTACGTGGACTGCGGGGACGATTTCGGTGGCGGTCTCAGCACCAAGCTCTCACCATGGCTGGAGAAGCATGGGGTCAACGGCACCCGGGACGTCAGCATCGAGGGCGTTGACTCAGATGGGAGGCCAACCACCTTCACGTTCACGCTGCACGAGGAGAAGTTGGTCGACTATCCAGGACCCAGGCACCACGACGCCTGTCTCGACATCTGCACCGAGTTCGCGGAGCTCATTGTGGCCAACCTTCTGGATCGGTTGGGGGACCTTGACAAGCTGTCGGGCGTGAGCTTGTTCACTCCCGACAGCTGGCCTTATGGCAGGCATGAGCGCCATGCAAAGTGTAATGAGTTTCTGGAGTCATTGATCACTCTCTTTGGGGTGGAGGACAACGATGAAATCTTGTCCGGTAAGCTCATTGTTGTATGTTGAAATCTCTTAAATGGATGGAATATTTATAGTTTCTCGTAAGTTCTTTGTTCCTCCCCTGATTTTAACGTTTTCTTTCTATCTCTGCTTCTGTTCGTTGCCTTATGTGTGACTGCAGGCATCGAGAAGAAGAAAGCATTCAAGGAGCTGCGGCTGCTTATTCCCGTACTTGCAGGTGCACCGAAGAGTGAGCGCGGCTTCCACACTGGGCTCACTGCCATCCTCAAGACTAATGACTGGCAGGATCACTTCCCTAACCTGGTGCGGCTGTGGGTGGCGGTGGCGGTTTTGCCGCTGAGCACCGTTGAGTGCGAGCGCGGTTTCTCGCGCCAGAACATTCTCAAGTCCTGGCAGCGAGGCAGCCTTAAGGATGCTCGTCTGAGCGACCTGATGTGCATGTCATTGCTCAAGTACGATCCCAATTGGGACGAAATCGTCGAGATCTAGCGCAACTACAAGAAGCGTAAGCCATTCAACACCTGCACCATAGCTAGGCAGGATGAGAGGAGGCGGAGGGGGAAGGAAGAGGTAGAGGCTGGGGATGAGGAAGATAAGGAACAAGATAGTGATGATGAGGGGGATGATATGTGATAGGATAGGAAAGGAGGTAGGTAGGTACAAGGTAGGTAGGTAGGTAGTTTGTTTTATGTATGTCCGTGTGATTGAATCTATGTTGAACTCTCCTCCCCAATCTTTTGTAACCATGCTTTTTTTGACATTGTTATCAGTCAGTCACAATCAGCCTACATTTTTGTACCTACACTGACCGGGAAGTTTTTTTTTCCACTACAACACTGATTTTTCAGGGTTTTTTTTTTTTTGTCAACACTGATAGAAAGTGCTTTTCCAGGGACCAACATTGTCTAAAAAGCGTGGCTCAAAACGAATCTGAGGGCCTGTTTGAGAGTACCCGTTTAGAAGAGACCTTTGTGCGTGTACTGTCAAGATAGGTAGTAGAAAGTTTAGAGGCAGAAAGAGGAGTTGCACTAGCAAGCAGTTGAGTACATATAGGAACCCTAGATTGGGCTGTACTCGCTATAGAGTACCCCACTGCAGGCTAGACAAATACAACATTCTGACACACCCCCATAGTCAAAGTGGGGTATAATCAGCAGAGCAAGCAGTCATAGAGCAGATTCACAAGTGCATGCAAAGCTAGAGGCATTCACAAAGGGCAAGTGAGGAGGAGGAGGCGAGACTGTAGGTGGAGAGGAGATAAGAGGCGTCGGCTGAAGCTGCAGACACACGGGCAACAGGAGTCAAACTGGCTCAGTGGCTACCGGAACAAGCGCCCCGGACTACAGGAGTAACTGGCTCCGCGGCTAAGAAGAGCGGCAGACGAGCAACGGACCCACGGGCGACTGGCGCAGCTGGCTACGACTGGGCTACCAGAACAAGCGCCCCGGACTACAGGTGCTGCTGACGACAAGACGGCAGCCTCCGCTCAACCTCCCCCAACAGTCCCACACCCCTCGACACACACCCCTTGCTTCACCCCTAGCTCCACTCCCACGGTACCCCCCCTTAAACCCTAAACCTCGGCTCCCACACATCCACCCCCCTCAGCGGCAGCTGCAGCAGTGGGAGACGGAGGAGGAGGAGGAGCAGGGGACGGCGCACACACACGGCACCCCCAGAGCTGCCACCCCCACACTCCGCACCCCCAAACCCTAAAAACGGGCGGAACGGGGGAAGGAGCGCGGGGGACGGCGAGGGGGACGGCGCTCGGCCCCCAGAACGCGACCACGGGGCAGCGAGGGGCCGCGCGCGGCTCCCCAGGGCGGCGCGACGGGAAATCGGGGCCGCGGGGGGGTCGCGCGCGGCTCCCCAGGGCGGCACGACGGGAAATCGGGGCCGCGGGGGGTCGCGCGCGGCTCCCCAGGGCGGCACGACGGGAAATCGGGGCCGCGGGGGGTCGCGCGCGGCTCCCCAGGGCGGCACGACGGGAAAACGGGGCCGCGGGGGGTCGCGTGCGGCTCCCCAGGGCGACGGGATCGCGGGGCCGTGGGGGACGGGACCGGAGGGCCGCGGGCGACGGGATCGGGGGGCCGCGGGCGTCCCCCACGGTAGGAAACCGCCGTGCGCCTCGGTGCGCACGGCGGGGAGAAAACCGCCGCACGCCCCGAGCGCGCGGCGGGATGAAAATGTGAAGGTCGCGCGCCACGGGGCGCGCGACACAGAGTAGGGCAGCGGAAGCAGCAGTGGGGCCCACAGGCCAGGAGCGTGAACGCTCTGTTACCATGTCAAGATAGGTAGTAGAAAGTTTAGAGGCAGAAAGAGGAGTTGCACTAGCAAGCAGTTGAGTACATATAGGAACCCTAGATTGGGCTGTACTCGCTATAGAGTACCCCACTGCAGGCTAGACAAATACAACATTCTGACATGTACGAGTTAAGAAATACGTGTCTTCAGAAACCGTAATGTACTATACTGCAAAATAAAATAGAGCGTATATTTTTACCCTTGCGAAACACGAATTCGGCCACGTGCTGACTTAGCATGCATTCTTCATTATGTGGCGTCCCGAACATTGATTGCGGACGCAGGAAGCTTTGAAATATCCACACTCATTATGAGATTTTTTCTTTTTCAAGATATGTGAGAATTATTTGAAGTATTTCAAATGTTTCTATTTATAAGACTTATGGGTCACCTACAAGCTCCGCAAATACAAGACAACCCTAACATTTTTTCGAAGCGATGTCTGTATGTAGCGATCTAGCGTGGTAACGGTAACGAGCGAAATGTGGTGTGTGCGATGGGCCTGGCACCGAGGTTTGGAATTGTCGAGGCGGAGGACCGGAGCGCGTTACCAGCCAAGCCGTAAGGCTGGGTCGCGATGTGAATAGTGACGGAAACAGTGGTCGAGGCGAGTCTCGCGAGTGGTAACGGTTTACTGTTGGGTACTATTGGCGGGAACAATTGTGTACGTAGTAAGCAAGGGTGCAAAGTAAGAAAAATGAGTTCTTCTTACACTACCCCCCTCCCCAATAAGGCCCCTTTACTAGAGTGAGTGTACATCCTGGAAATTACGTCTGCGCACATATTCAATGAGGACGAGGTGGTTTCGATTTTATCCAGCATACCCAATTGTCTTCAGTGGGTGTACGATCCTTCCACCATATCACGCACTCGATCCGATGACTCAGAACCTCCGCGTGCTTGTCACTCCGAGGTTACGCCCACGATATTGAGGACCATTTCGTGTCAGTCTCATGATCAAACCCGTCACCGCCCACCTCCTCCTACCCGCTGACTGGCACGTCAGCCCCTCATTCCACGTTCGTCTCCTCTGCCCCTATGTCTCATCAACGAGTCAACTGCCTTGCATCCTCCCGTCTAGCATGACACGTCCGCTCTACAGAGCCGATCGTCAGCCCCGAGAAGGTCTTGAGCTGGTGATCGGCGTAACGCTTAGCGATGATGTTCAATTTTTTTATGGCGTCTGCTGCTCGGGTCCGAGTGGCCTTTAAAATTTTGGCAAACAGTTGCTCACGTGGGACTGGGTTGTCGGGGTTCGGCGTCATGGGAACAGTGGGGTTTTGTCTGTAGTGAGATAGAATGGTGACTGCTGCATCGTGGCTGAC